CTACTCCCAGTGGATGCATGGTCCAGTATTTCTGTTTATGTGACAGAAGGGGAGGAGGTGGGAGGTCAGAGATGCACTTTTTCCTGCTCTCCTCCCTCCAAGTGATTTCTTTTCAGGGGCTTGCAATGATCAGCTCCCACATCTGGAGCCTTCTCCCCTTGGATTGACGGGCTCTGAACCAGCTTGTTTTCAGACAGACTCTCAGAGAGTGCTCCTGATTCTTTTCAGCCAAGATATTTCCTGTGTTGAATTAGCTATTTTCATGCAATGACCCCAAACCACCATGATCCTTTCAAATTCATCCAGCACTAATTCATACTCTCTTTACTTCTGATTGATTCTTTTGAGATACCTGGGTCTTCCAGGATTAATTGGGGGGCGGGTGTATTTTCTGTCTCTCCCATTAGAATGAAAGCTTCTTGATGGTAAGAATTGTTTCATTTTGTTTTTGTGTCCCCAGTGCCTAGCTCAGTGCTTGGCAGAAGGGAAGGCTCAGTGAATGCTTATCAGTTGTTTGTTCTCCGGTCTCCACGCCTTTACCCATGCTGTTCCCCCTCCCTGGAATGCCCTCCCTGAGCACCTCTTGTTGCTTTCAAGAAGTCTTACCCTTCAAGAAGTCAATCTCTATTACTGAGATTCTATCAGTTGGAGATGTCCCATCCCCCCCATCATCCCTCTTTTTTGGAGGGGGGGCTGGATCTGTGATTTCCTTGAGGTGGAGAATTAAGGAAACTCCCTCTAACAAAGGGAGTGGCCAGGGCACAGTGAATAGAGTGGGCTTGCAGTCAACAAGACTGAGTTCAAACCCTGTCTCAGTTCTTTATTAGCCATGCGATTCTGGACAAGGCACTAAAGTTCCCCCAGCCTCGGAGTGACGTTGCTGGATTTTGGAAACCTTCGTTCTTGCTCCTTCTGTGAAGTAAATATTCTTTGGTAAAAGCTATTCGCTGTTAAGTGGATAAATGGACTTCCTGGCCCCCAGAAACTAGGGGGTATAAGGGAGGCTGGTCCTATCCCAGAGGCTAAGCTAGAGGGTGAGTCCTAGGGCACAGGGCTTTGGGGACCCAGCTGGCCAGTGACAGGCAGCCTGCATTGGCTTAGAGTCAGTGAGCCCCAAGGGAGCATAACCTGAATGATGACAAGAATTGGAGTAGCTGACATTTAGTAGTGCCTTAAGATTTGTAAAGGGCTTTACATATGTTATCTTATTTGATTCACTTAACATGGTGTTTCCATCCTTGTAATCACCGAGTAGATTGCCTACTGAGTCCTGCTCACTTCATTCAAATGACCCTAAGGCACAGGGGCCTAATCCTTCCTACATCATTGAGGTCTGGGAGAGGTAGAGATTGGGTACACAACAGGGTTCATTCAGCGTCTCCATGGCCTTGGCCCCACCAAATTCCTGTCCAAAGGTGATATTGCTACCAGATGAGTCATGCTGCTGGGCTGGGACCCCAGAGGTCACTCCCGAAGATCACCTCTTGCTACCTATTCCCTGAAGCCATTTAAGTTGTGCGGGCTGTCAGCTGTAAATCTAACCCAGATTCCAACTCTGGGATGCCCCGAGGTTGGGAACTCTACCTAGAATGAAAAAGGCTAACTTGGTCTTTTGGCTAAGAAGACCCCGCTCCTTGGGGTCCACGTGGGGCCATGAGGCCTCAGTGAAGGAAGGAGGACCCGAGACCCTTCTGCTTCCGACATGGTCTCCCTGGATGCCGGGAGTGAAGGCGTCACCTTCCTCTCCCAGTGTGAATGCAGCGAAGAGAAGTCTGGAGCTGACTCTGGTCCTTTTGAAGACACTCACAGGTCTGGACACCTGTGGATGCCAATGGAAAAAATAGCCTTTCCATCCACTCTTTTTGTAGAAAGTTGTTTGTGTGTTATGTGTCCCTTTAGACTGTGAGCTCCCTGAGGGCAGGGACTGTCTCCTGTCTTTCCTTGTAACCCCAGTACTTGGCACAGTGCCAGGCACATAGCTGTTGTTGCTTGTCCTTGAGGACCACGACATCAAGAAGGTGATGAAATGCCTTGCAAATGAATTGGGTTTAAGTGAGGCAGGGCTATGCAAAGTCACCAGCCTCACTGTCTCCTCCCGAGCCATATGGTGACGCGGCCGCTGCAGTGGTGAGCATGAGACCAGCTCAATACTCTCAACCCGGAGGCGCATTGAGGAGGCGGGAGACAGCAAGAAGGCAGAAGCTCCGTTCATTAAGTGCTAGTAGCTTTCTTTTATATCCTTGGTAACAGCTGATCGAAGCATGATCTCCACGTGATAGCCAATCACCAAGTCTGCCGGACACCTGCAGCCCTCCTGTCAGGGGTATGAGTAGTATTTTTCTCCCAATGAGAGGAGAGCCGAGCCAACCGTGGGAGCTGCGTGTCAGCAAAGGAGAGGTCTTGTGAGACTTCCTTGTTTTTGCCACGCAACAGGTTGTGACCCTCAGCTTCTGCCAAGAGAAGCTAGAACTCCCATGGGAAAACTCTTTCAACAATATGGCTCCAGTGGCCAGATCTAGATCAGGATGACTGGAGATGGCCTTGGAGGCAGTGGGTGACTTGACTTGACTTGGTAGGCCAACCTGACCCAGTTACAGACTCCCCAAGGATACTCCAGTCATCATAGTTCTCCCAGAAGCAGCTCCCTAGCATGGACCATGTGGAGATACCACCTTAACAAGGTGCTGTGGCCTGTACGTGCCCAGGCCCCTGTCGAATGATAACGGAAAGCAGAAGGACATGGTATGACATCATCAAATATGGCTCCAGAGAGAGATAAGAGAAGGTATCTTTCCCCTTCCTGGGCAGAGGTGGGGGCTCATGGGTGTAGAAGGTTGCCCATAGAGTCAGATTATCTGATATGTTGATAAATTTTTGCAAACTCCTTTTATTCCTGTTTTAAAATCCTTTGTCATAAGGAATGACTGCAGGTTGGTGTCAGAGAGACAAGGGAAACATGGGGAAATGTAGGCAATATAAAACCAAAAAATAAAAATTTCTTTAAAAAAAACAGAGTCATGAACAAAACACTTAAAAAAAAAAAAGAAGACAGTTTTTAATGAGCATCTACAATCCTAGGTACAGGGGATGTCAGAGCAATGGGAGAGCCAGGCCTTCCCCTGAGGAACTGAAGGAGGGGTGTGACTGCAGTCAGGTTGGGTAAGAACGATTTGAGAGCAAGGGCTGAGCCAAGCGTGACTCAGCAGCCTTGTGTGTGTGTGTGTGTGTGTGGGGGTGCCTTGACCGTAGCTCCCTTTTGCACCTGTTTGGTTGGAGCCCCATCTCCCTCCTGTTCTCTTGGCTTCAGCCCTCAGAAGCCACATGCAGCCCCTCACATTATCTCTGGTTTTCCCATTTTGGCTCCATGCCCACAACCTGGAGATGTTTTCTTCGGTCCCCTAGAGAGGTCCCCTTCCACCTCCGCATTTCTCCAGGGAGCTCATTACAACACCCAGCCTCTTTCTGCATCACAGACTCCCCTTCCTGGGCCAGCTCCCACAGGAAGCCGAAGGCCTCACCTGCAGGGTCCATAGATACGCACAATCATGGCGCTAGAAGGCACATTCCGGAGCATCTAGACCCATCCCTCCTATTTCACTAAGTTTCTTTCTTTCCCAATTCCTTGTTTGGGTCCTTGCTAAGCTAGGTAGATGTCCCCTCCCTTTTGTTAGAGGGGGAAAAGGAAGGAGAAAGAGGAAAGAGCTCTACAATATGGTGGAGTGAATTGTTGTTTTCTTGAAGTCAGGGACTGTTTTGTATCCCAGAAGGAACATCTGCCTGCCACGTGGTAGGTACTTAATGCTTGTTTTTTTTATTTTTCCAATTACACATAAAAACAATTTTTAACCTTCACTTTTTTGCAATTTTGAATTCTTCCAAATTCTCTCCCACATTCTCTCACCTCCGCCCTCATTGAGAAGACAGAAATTTGATATAGATTATACATGCGCAGTCATGCAAAACATATTTCCATACTGGTCATGTTGTGAAAGAAACCATAGACAAAAAACCCCAAGAAAAATAAAGAAAGTAACAAAAAGGAGACTTCAGTCTGCATTCAGACTCTGGCAGTTCTGTCTCTGGAGGTGGAGAATGTTTTTCATCCTCAGTCCTTCCGAACTATCTCAGATCATTGTGTTGCTGAGAATAGACATTCACAGCTGATTATCACACAATGTGGCTGTTACTGTGTACAACTGTTCTCCTGGTTCTGCTCACTTCACTCAGCATCAGTCCATACAAGTCTTTGCAGGTTTTTCTGAAGTCCACCTGCTCATCATTTCTTCTAGCACAATAGTATTCCATTACATTCATATGCCACAACTTGTTCAGCCATTCCCCAATGGATGGGCATCCTCTCAATTTCCAATTCTTTGCCACCACTAAAAGAGATGCTATAAGTATTTTTGTACATAGATCTTTTCCTTTTTTTAAAATCTCTTTGGGATACCTCACTTAAAGTTTGTTAATTGGATTTTAAAAGCCCTGGATGGGACAGAGCACCTGGGTTCACATCCTTCCACCTGTGTGACTTTGAGCAAGTTACTCCCCCTTTCTGGGCCTCAGTTTCCTCGTCTGTAAAGTGATGTCTAAGCCCCTTCCAGCTCTGTAGCCAGTGCACAGCTGATGTTTGGGGTGGGGTGGAGGGAGAGGCAGAGGGTTCTGTCCCCTGCCAGGTACATAAGGTCTGAGGTCTCCCTGAGGGTTTGCTGCCTGGTCCCGGGGGGTGTCCTTGTCTTCACTTTTTTGAAGGGGGTGAGAGAAGGGTATACACTATTGATATGTGAGGCATTGGGGGAGGAGTGTTTTAGAATGGGAAAGCGCTTGAGAGAGGGAAAGGGGTGCCCACAGCAGGTACAGGGGGCACCTCGTGGCTCAAGCAGCCCCGAAACCTGGGATGTGGCCGAGGGTGAGCGGCCTGCCCTGGTCTCACCACCGGAAGGAGGAAGCTGCCGTGCCAGAATCAGGCAGACTGGGTGTCCCCTTTCCCCCTGGGGACTTCCTCTTCCTCCTCAGGGGCAGGTGTAGCCTTGGCAGAGCCCTGAACATCTGGGACCCCGGGAATGGCTGGAGGCATGGCTGGGGGCGTGGGGCCCAGGCTCAGGGACTTCCTGAGTGGGAGCCTGGCCACCTGGGTGAGGTAGAGGGGAGGGAAGAGGACTGGGGGAGGTAGGGGATGTGGCGCAGAGGTGGGGGAGGAAGGTCCCAGGGAGGTGAGGACTGGAGAAGGAGGGGGGGCCCAGGCAGTTCACGGTGGGGGGGATGGCGAGGGAGGGTCCAGCTCACCGAGACCTTGCCCAATCTTCTCCCCCCAGGTGCAGGGCCTGGCAGCGCTGGTTGGGGAGGGACAAGAGAAAGAAGATGGGGAGGAGGAAGAAGAAGGGCCCCTGAGCCCCGAGGATCGGTTCCTGAGGCTCAGTGACGGGGCTCTGCTGCACCGGGTCATGGGCCTCATGTAAGAGGGGGTGCAGGGAAGCCCCAGCCTGGGAGTAGATGTTGGGCATCTTTGAGGAGGTCTGGAGGAGATGGGAAGGAAAAGGCCAACGGTGGCAGCAGTGGGTGGAGCAGGAAACAGCCTGTGCCAGCCCATCCCTGCCTCTGGGTGACGTCTGCCCTCTCCCCACAGAGCCCCCAACTCCCGAGGGGGTCTCCGTCCTGGAGGAGTTCAGGGGGGGCCCGGGGCTCGTCGGGTGACACGCCTGAGCCACCTGCAAGCTCGACTCAGAGACTTCTACCAGGTGAGAGGTGGGGCTGGGTACCAGGATGGGCCATAAAGGGGAAGGCTGGGGGTGGGCCTGGAAAAGTCCCCCTCTCCCCTCCCCACGGGTGTGTGTGGCCTCCTCCTGACCCCCTTCATAGTGGAAAGCCAGCGACCTGGGCTTCAGTCCCAGCTGTGTGACCTCGGGCAAATCCCAGCCCCATCTGGGCTCTGTTTCCTCAGCTCCCCCAAGGGGGTGGTATCTGCGATCCCCTCGGGCTCCAGAGTCAGTTCTTAGCCCTCTGTCCCCTCAGGAAGAGCTGCAGCTGCTGATCCTTGTGCCGCCCCCAGACCTCCAGATGCTGGGCTTTGAGCCCCTCTCAGGTACCCAGGGCCCCTCTCCTGCCCCCTTCCCCCATGGCATCTTCCCCATTCTCCCTGTTGACTGACTCCGTGTTATCTGGATGCCTGCAGAGGAGGTCATAGAGGAGCTGGAGGGGACCCTAAAGCTGATGCTGGGGGCCTCCGTGCAGGTGAGACAGCGGGGTGGGGGAGCCTGGGGACCCAAGTGAGGGACTGAGGGGTGGGGGATGGGAATGACTGATGGGAGAGCCTGGGGACCCAAGTGAGGGACTGAGGTGTGGGGGAGATGGAAATGACTGATGGGAGAGCCTGGGGGGCCCAAGTGAGGGACTGAGGGGTGGGGGAGATGGGAATGACTGATGGGAGAGCCTGGGGG